AAAAAAAAAAAAAAAAAAGTTAAAAAACAGTTGCATTGCCAATTCGTAGGCAGGAAGTAGCTGTGTAGGGAGTAGCCTGGGCGCTGAGCGCCAAGTAGGGAGAGAGGGCCTGGATACGTATGTTGGTGGGGCCGAGAGTAAGCTCTCATTGACATTCGGTTTCAGTGTTTCAATTCTCCATTGGTGTAATATTGGTGCAATGCTGCTTTCTGGACACTGTGAGACTTTCTTGCTTTCAATGTGATCGTGCTATCTGGATTCTGTCATCTCGCTATCTCTCATTTTCCCTGCACTACTAGCCCCCTATTTCTTTTTTTTTTCTTTTTTTTACTTTTCTTCTGAGTACGGATCCGGGCCGCCCGGCCGACCGGCGCCTGCCCGGGGGAGGTCCCGGGCGGCCCGGTTGGGGGCCGGGCCCCCTCAGCACACCTTCACGGCGGGGGGGGTTCGACCCCGAAACGGGTCCAGTTGTTGTTGGCAGGGCCTACCGGGTCCGACCGCGCCATGAAAACGGCGCGTCGGGCCCGTGAGGCCTGCTTTTTTTTTTTGAATTTTTGACGGCCCTCCGGCCGTCGATCATCCGCGATCGACGGCTGGAGGGCTGTTAGTTTTTGCCACTTTTTGGAGGGAAAAGCAAAGTTTTCGGAGGGCCTGAGGCAGTCCGCATCGGCTTTCAAAAAGGGGCCTGTCCTCCAGCCGCCTGCCTTCGTCATTGCGTCCGAAGTTCGTCGAAGCAGCTGGGAGTCCCATCGCCTGGGAGAGCCGTCGCCCGTAGCCCGTCGCCATCGCCTGGGAGAGCTGTCGCCCGTAGCCCGTCGCCATCGCCATCGCGTTCGCCGCGACCCGTCGCCCCCCGTCGTCCATCGTCGTGCTGCTCCCTGCCAGCATCCACTGCCGCCCGTCGACGAGGACTGCCGGTCTGATCTTCTTCTTCTTCTTCTTCTTCTTCTTCTTCTTCCCTCCTCCTCCTCCTTCTCTTATTCTTCTGCTTCTTCTTCTCTCCTCCTCCTCCTCCCCCTCTCATCTTCTTCTTCTTCTTCTTCTTCTTCTTCTTCTTCTTCTTCCTCTTATACCTTCGCCACCTTTCTTTTTTTTCTTTTTTTTCATTCGTTCGTTATAGGTCACGAGATAAACGGCAGGTGAAAGAAAGAAAAAAAAACCTGCTCCGCTCGTAATTTCTTCTTCTTCTTCTTCTTCTTCTTCTTCTTCTCTCCTCCTCCGCCTCCCCCTCGTCTTCTTCTCCTTTCTCTTCTCTCCTCCTCCTCCTCTTCCGCCCACACTCTTCTTCTTCATCCTCGACAGCCATACCCTAACGGCATACCGCGCCGCCATTTCCCTCACCCCCGCCGTAACCCTAGCCGCCATTCTTCTTCTTCTTCTTCTTCTTCTTCTTCTTCTTTTCTCCTCCTCCCCCTCGTCGTCTTCTCCTTCCTATTCTCCCCTCGTCCTCCTCTTCGGCCCATCTTCTTCTTCTTCTTCTTCTTCTTCTTTTCTCCTCCTCCTCCCCCTCATCTTCTTCTCCTCCCTATTCTCCCCTGGTCCTCCTCTTCGGCCCATCTTAGGCAACATACATGCAGAGTCCCCAACACCCATAACCCCCCCCCCCCCCCCCCCCCCCCCCCCCCCCCCCCCCCCCCCCCCCCCAAACCAAAATTTTATTGCAGATTCGGGGTCCTCTCGCGGAGCACAGTACGACCCCGCCCTCAAAAAAAAAAAAAAAAACACTCTAGGCTGTTTTTTGGCCTGCCCGGGCCCCGCCCGGCCGGGCGGCGTCTGTACTCAGCTTTTCTTTTATTTTTTCCCTTTTCTTTTTGTCTTTTGCCTTGGAAATCAATCAATGAATCAATCATGCAATCATTCAATCAATTGATTGATTATCAATCAATCAATCAATCCATGGTACTAAGTAGGCTGGATGGTACTATATGGGGTAGAGGGTGCTATGTCGGCCAGGAGGTGCCTTGGTGATGCTAATTGGGCTCCGTTAAAATTCAGAACCCCATTCACTTGATTTCTACTGTGGGATGAGATATGAGGAAAGAAGGGGGGTGGGAGAGGGGTGCAGGATGAAGGGGCATCAAACAAATGATCCACCAACTGGCCTGGCCCAGTTGGTACAACCATGTACGATTGAAGCACAAACCAGAGCATTCCCCTGGAATGACAGGTTCACAGTCTAATAATTCTGAAATGCCTGTGGGTGGTCAGTTCAATGATGATATCTTCAGGTAATCATCCCGTCTGAATGGTCCATTGCCATGTGTCTGTGCTATGTGGCGAGCGCAGCCGCGACCTTTCACTACCTGCCCACCACTACTCCTAATGCTGTACAGGGGACCCCTGCAATCATAGCTGGTTTGAAATGCAAAAGGGAGGAAGGGGGGTGGTCACCTGCATCCATGTTAGGCAGGGCATTTGCCCATCCCTTGCCTGGCAGGCATGCAGTCTGGTTACGCAAGGCATTTGCCCATCCCTTGCCTGGCAAATCCCCCTGTCTAGGTGGCCACTCAACCAATCATAGCAGTGGTCAGGTATGCATCCAACCTAGGCAGGGCCTTTGCCCATCCCTTGCCTAGAAAATCCCCCTGTCTAGGCGTTGCATTTGCCCATCAACAAAAGTGTGCTAAAAATAAGAACAGACGATATGATAGCATTACAACCTCTCGCAGGCCTGATATCAATGACAGCATGCTAAAACTAATGACAAAAAATGTGGAGTGTTACGGTACAGTAATCAATACGATTCATTGACAAACAGGGCCATCCTTACCTTTCCACTGATGGAAATCTTCAGCTCATCAAGAACACCGATAAGATACACAGACACCCCTTCCACAGCATTTTCCTGAAGCTGGCGATTTCCTACAGAAGGCTGCTCTCTCGATTTGCCATCTTCGTTCTCTTCTTCACCTTCCAGCAATGACAACGAAACATGTCCCTGCTCACATGTGCGGAGTCACATAATGATAAAAAAAACCGTCACACTTCCAAACTTCTGTTCGTGGGCATTAATAGAACACATAAGTACAAAGGCACATTTTGGTAATCGTACACCGACTTCAGACTTTCAGCCATATCTGTACGGATTACGAAATGAAATCGCTCTTATTGATTTAGAAAGAACACTTCTTTATTTACGAAAGCTCATGTATTGCAAATTCGAGATTGCTAAACTATGAAACAGGGGTTCAATCCTGTGCAGGCAAAAAACATCTCACGCAGCAAATAGCAAGTCTAAGATTTGAATCAAAGGTCCAGACTAATTGCAGGCCTCCTACCAAGGTGTGATTCCGACATGTAACTCATCCTAGCAGGGGACTGAAACGCGGCACTCGACCCAACTATGGACCGCTTTTCAGGAGGAGCATCAGGGACAACGCAAGCCACGTGGAATGAAGCCCTTCCGGTCCACGAGTTGATGATGGAAAAGGATCTAATAGACCCATTCAGAGTGCTGCACCCGGACAGCAAGGAAACCACTTACCTAAAACGGAATAGAAGTCAGCACATCTCAGCATCCCGAATAGATTACTTTTTAACATCAGGATCGCTCATAGGAGCACTCCGTAACACAGAAATAGGGGAACTCCCCAGATACACAGGCCTTGACCACACACCAATCAGCTTGTGTCTTAACCTAGGAACCACCCCCAACAGGGGACGAAGCTTCTTCAAAATCAACAACTCGCGGTTAAATACACCAGAAATGAGGGAGGCAGTCCTGTCCGCGTGTATTAACCACGACTGCACTAACCAGGACTTCTCGGACTTCGTTGTGCCCCTGACGGAAACCACAGCTAGAGCCTCCAGAATAATTGCTTCCAAGAGAAAAGCAAGTGAGGAGGAATTGCAACAGGCAATAAGGGTAGCAGAAAGAAACCTCCTAAGCAACTTAGGGAACCTATACGAAAAAGTCTTTGAACAAGCCATGCAGGAGATGTCCGAATGGGAGGAATGGAGGAACAAGGGCCTGAGGATGAGAGCCCGAATAAAGGAATGGGAAGAAGGCGAGAAAATGACCAAGTACTTCTTTAATAGGATTAAGACAAACGCTAGGAATGCAAGCATAGATAAACTGCAGGCAGAACAGGGACTGGCATCCAACCCACAACAGATGCTAGCAACATCAGCAGCTTTCTTTCAAAACCTCCAGATCTAAAGAACAGGACTACTCACACCAGGAAACCTCACGCGTGAGAGCCAAATTCCTGACTCGCTTAGACAAGACTATCTCAACAGAACAGGCGGCAGATTTAGACATGCCGATCTCTGAACAAGAAGTCTTTGAAGCATTACAATCAATGAAACCGAACAAGACCCCAGGACTGGATGGACTCTCCAAGGAGTTCCGGGTCACATTCTGGCCAGCTCTAGGCACAGAATATTTCCAATTCCTGGAGCGGGCATGGAATAGAGGCACACTTGGAGAATTTCCGAGCACTGGTGTAGTCTCCCTACTTATACAAGAAAGGTGATCCAATAGACATTAGAAACTACAGACCAATCTGTCTGCTCTCAGTAACATATAAAAATTTTAGCTAAATTACTAGCCAACCGAATCAGAACAATAACAAGGAACTGCTTCCATATCGATCAGACAGGATTTATCCCAGGAAGATCCATACTGGATACAGTAATGACCCTCAACGAATCAGTCATATACATTCAGGATAAAAGAATGCCATATTATTCTTTAGACTTCGCAAAAATGTACAACCAGGTTAACTGGAACTTCCTACAACGATGTATGGAAAAAATGGAGGTAGGACCAAATTTCAGAAAATGGGTTCAGGTCCTGTACTCGGAAGCCCATGGAAGAGTGCAGGTCAACAGCCATCTGTCGCAGCCATATCGAATGCCCAGCTCAGTAAGACAGGGCGACCCGTTAGAAGCCCCAATCTTTCTTTTCATCATGGAGGCGATTGCCTCCTTTCTAAAGAAAGACCCATTGATTGAAAGACTGGTGGAGGGCATACAACACCCAGTCAACCTGCCCACTACCATCCTGTTAGCGGACGACCTGACGGTCTTAATACGGGCATCCGACGACTCCTTTCAAGCTCTCACTCGAGCCATGCAAGCTTTTCAAATTGCATCCGACTACTCCTTCCCAATAGCCCAAATCATCAACCAAAGATGGGAAACGCACCTCAATCTGACACCAAACCAAATTCTCATCACCTCCGTGGAGCAGGGTACTTGCCATCACCTCCGTCAGAATAAGAAACTTTCAATGGCTACTCGCTCATCGGGCTCTCCCAGTTAACAAATGGCTGAACAAGAGAAGGAACACACAGTTGAGATCCCCTACGCAGGAACTATGTGCTATCCGGAGGGACTGCCAGGAGATATACAACAATGTTCACTAGGCTGCCAGAAAGCCAAACAACTCTGGACATCCACTTCCTTATTATAGCACTCAATTGCCAAGAAAACCCTTCCAACGGATCAGGTCTCTCTCTTACTAGGCTTACACACTCCCAACTCATGGCAGGGATGTGAAGTTTCCTTCTTTCACACACTAAGGCTCGCGACCTTATGGATGATTTGGAAATGCAGGCGTCAAGAAACGATTGAACGCAGAGCTATGACACCCCAAGAGGTATGGGAGGGAGTATTGTACCTAGTGGAGGTTGAGTATAGAGGGTGATGGAAGAGAACTCGCTGGAAAATAGAGGAGAATATAATGAACAAGGACAACACAATAGAGTCTTTCGTAAAGCACCAGATGGGAGAAAGAAAGACAGCAAGATTAGACCAGGACAGACTGCACTTTGCCCAATGGCGACAAACCCAACTAACTAGGGTACAAGGGATACAATCTTCTAGAAGTAGGACCCACCTCACGGGTATATCAATAGGTATGAGATAAAGAGAAAAGTACCAGTGTAGGCCCCCACAAAGGACACGAGTAGGCAACATCAATCCTCAGACTAAGACCACTTTCCCGCTAATCCGTAGGACAAAAGGAAGGGGCACAGTTCTAACCTGAACAGGCACCCGGAACCTACGGGATAAGAATAGTTGGGGGAACTCCAAAGGGTTTAGGGTCTAGGGTTTAGGAACTCCAAAGAGTTTAGGGTCTAGGGTTTAGGAACAACACACAAGGGACCCTCAAAATCCTTAGAAGGCAATCACTTGGAGAAGTCAGGGTTTGCCAGGAAAGCATGGCCAATAGACCGGGAGCCGATGGGAAGTTCAGTTTCTGGTCAGAAGATATTCTGTAGTTCACAAAGGAACAGATCAGGAACGGTTGGCAGTAGGGAATAGGCCCCGTCAGGAATGAGCTATAGCACAACCCGTGGACGCCATCCTCTTACACTTGCTCTCGTTTACCACGACAATCAGACAGCTACTCAGCTGAGAGGGGCCAAGAGTGAGGAGTCGCAGAAGTCCAAGAGATAGTTGAAACAGGCTAACTCAGGCAGGGGTGAGGGGTGGTATATCCTTCCCCAGGGAAGTACTCAATGCCGTTCACTCGGACCTCTCAACCATAATGGGGAGGAGCGTGTGCGTGTCCTTAATGTATTCATTATTGACTTGCCGGTGGAATAGGAACCGGACTGTTTCTCCCCAGAATGGTACTAGGCAGAACCGTGAGGTTCTGTTTAAAAAAAAAAAAAAAAAAAAACAGCAAGTCCAAAATTCAGGATTTACTAGACAAATAACCTTCCTGCAGCATATGCCTGATAGTCAGACCAGACTGCCAGCCCAGTGAGGGTAGACAGTTGCTCTCCTTGACTGAGAGGGTCCCCCATAGAGCATGATAAAATAAGAGAAGCACAAGCCTCACATTTAGGCCCATCTAACCATATAGAATTGTTGTTATTGTTTTGTGAAAAGAAAATGAGCAATAGCAAAATACAGAATTCCAGATTGCAAAAACACAATGAGAGCCAGATAGTCAAAAACTGTCCAGACAGCAGAAATGCACTGATATCACACCGAAGGAGAACCAAAGCAGCAAACTCAATTGTCAATGAAAGCATGCTCTCGCCACCACCAACAATGCAATCGGAGGTCTTCCTCCTACTTGGCGTTTAGCGCCCAGACAACGATCACACAGCAACTCTACCGGCCTACAATTGATGAAACAACCAGTTGACATCGGCAGCAGCAACCGTCGTACATGCAGATGTCGACCATGCAGACCTTCGCCAAGACCAGGTGTGTGCCCTCACATCACCTCCCTTCTCTCACCCTCTCATGCTCACCCTCTCTTCACCACCCACATGCCTTCACTACCGAAGACCACCACCATACACCCACTGACCTTCGTCCAAGCCAAGCCCAGCTATGTAGGGCTTGGCTATGGTGCTGCCTCCTTGAAGCGCCCTGCTTCCACAGCCTCCCGCCCGCGCCCAGGCTCTTGCGCTTGTGCAGCAGCATGCGAGCACTCGCTCAAGCAGCGCTGCCGCATGCACTCGCAAGTGCTCGAATGAATGACTCAGGACAGGCACTTTGCAGGCCTGGCCCGAAGGCCGTCTGGCTGGGCCTGCGGGCACCCAGTAGCTTCAGGTTGGGCCAAAATGTCTGCGCCCAGGCCCGTTCAGATAGTGGCCTGGGACCGATGTGGTTAGGCCTGCCCAACCACCCAGGAGTAAACGTGAGGTTCTCCCTGCTTCCCCTGCGATGTTGGAAGAGCCCAGAAGGCTCACAAATATTTCTGATTCTTCTCGAGCGGGGCCAACGTAACCAACTGGCGCGTGGTAACTGTCTGGCGCCCACCAAAGCTTTGCAAAATTGACGAATTCAGACCTCATTGAGATTTGGGGGCCCGCATTCACATAGGGCGGGCATATGCTTGCTGTATGGGGCCCTCATGGGCATGCCAAGGATCTAAATCCTCACAATTGTATGAATTATCTTAACTCAGAGAAGTTAAAAGTCACTTAAATGTAGTACGGTCTCTGATGACTCTCTATGATACATCTGAAATGATAAGGCTAGCAAAGTGAGATGACGCATTTCGGTAGAGAAACACATCCAAACACAAAAAGGGAGAAAAGCAAACAAACAGTTTTGGCACTCGCATTGAATTCCCAAGAAATCATCTTCTTCTTGCAGCTGCTTTTCCCTATCCTCCTCCCACTGCTGCAGGTTTCACTTCTATTCCCTGATGTCTGCTGATGCAGTTTCCGGTTTGTTCAACAACCTCATTCCACCAAATACAACACTGGGGCATTCCATCTGAATAGCACGTGACGGTAGTGTAGAAGGCAATGTATTCAATTAGAATGCCCCTGGTTTGTCCTAGTGAAAAGCCGAAGAAAATATGTGCATAAGGATTCTCCAAGTCAATAAGGGCAAGTCATAACCAATCCACTTTTGTAAATGGTAACAAGCTCAAATAGAGGGTTCACACAGGAGCTATGGTGCTGCCTCCTTGCAGCGCCCTGCTTCCACAGCCGCCCGCGCGCGCCCAGGCTCTTGAGCTTGCGCAGCAGCATGCAAGCACTCGCTCAAGCATCACTGTATCCAATGTCCCTCTTCCAGTATGGCGCTTGGCAACCAAACTACCATTAGACAGCACCTAAGCACTTGCCTATCCAACTACGATGTCAACAGGTCTTCATGAAGTACAGCTGCCAGAAGACGAATGGAGACGTCAGCTTCACCACAATCACCAGGTACCTTCCTCCTCGCCACCCAATCACATCTCACCCACACTGCGCCCTCTCCAAAGGACCACCGCTCAATCCCCCTCTGACAACAGTTTTTTCTGTATCTTGATAGCGGGCAATTGAAACTGCTCCTATTAATGCTATTAATAGCAATAATGAGATTAATTCTATGGCCACTGTGTAGCCCAAGCTGCGAACAGCAGCTTCTCAAGTGCCCTGTCAGCGAGTTCTCCTCCAGCCCCGCCAGCCTTCAGCGCGTGTGCGAGCAAGCCAGCATCGCAGCAGCACTTACAAATGAGGCTCCAGGCCAGAATGTGCTCACTGGGCTGCAGCACTTTCCTTGATGGAAAGTGATTCTGGCCTGGACGCACGCCACTGATATCCAGTAGCTTCAGAGCCTCGTCCAGAATCTGTGAGTGGGGCCCTTCCAAACTGTGCCCGACGTGGCTGTCGCTGTTTCCTGCATTCTCATTGGCGGAAAGACCTTGAGACTCTCAGCATGATTGGGCAAAAAAAAAAAAAAAAAAAAAAAAAAAAACCACAAAAAA